GTATTGTTGAAGTTCGTTGTTATAGCGTTTGTTATAGAGCAACTGTTGAAAATAAGTGTATCGGTAAAATTATATTCGGAAAGAATAAACCAGTTTTATTAAGAAAGGACTTGTGTCGCTAAAGTTTCGTGGGAACGAATTTACAGAAAATCAATTAACAACTGGAGACGTAACAGTATTTAAAAAAGTAAACAAATGGATGAATCTTGGAATGAACTTTCACATAATGTATTAATGAAAAATAAAATATTTGCATATGTGGTGCTGATACGAAGTTTTCAGCTTTGGAAGTCCAAAAATATTATGATTTTTCTTTTCTAAAAAACAGTTAATAACCTTAGTTGTAGGTTTCAGAATAATGATTTTTTTTTTCCTACATTCTCATAAAGCTTTCAAATAATTCTTTATTTTTATAAAACTTTATATTTTCTCTTTGTTTTGATTCCAAAAACATTGCATTCAATTTCACTGTTTTTATGATCACTGATATATAACATATGATATACCAATCAGCTGAAGCAAGTCAAGCAACCACAGTGTCAAAAGGAAAAACAAAAACAACTTTAGTAATTCTAAGAACTCCCAATTAAAAGCAAAGGAAAATATGTTATAATATGATAAATGTTAGGAAATTAAAAAAAACAGGATCAATCTAGAAAGAAGTAAGCTAAAACTTCACAAGTGGCTTAGGATCAAGAAAAATTTAACTGGCTTAAGATACTCAGGCTGATAATGTCAAATGATGTGAAATATTTTTCTGTAATATATAACTTACCATAAAAAGGCACAGTAGAGAAAGCTAAATCCAATGAAACCAATGATAGTAATAAATACTGAAAATATAAACAATCCTGTCCAGTACCTGGTGTGCAAGCACAGCTATGAAAAAATAAAATATTTAATTAAAATAACTTTTATTTGAATTATTACACCCATCCACACACATACATACATATTGTTAGATAAATTTTTTAACTGTTGGAAATATAATTGCTTATTATAAATTCAGCCTTCTACTTAATACTGATAAAAACAAATGATAACCAGTACAAGTTTGATTTTTAATAAGATACTTCATAGGAGGTCTATCTGTCAAAAGTAGTCATTATTAAAGGAGACCAAAAGTAATTTTCCACAGTCTTTACATTTTTAACCATCTTACTATAATGCATTTTGATAAAAGAGTTAGCACAAAAGATCACATATAAAGTGTAGTAGACTTAAAATAAGACCCAAAACTCGAGCACTTTCGATTAGTTGACTATTCTTCTTCAGGAGAACAATAGTCAACTATTTAAAAGCGCTAGAGTTTCGGGTCTTACTATAATGCATGATATTTTGTCCCTTTGCCTGCTTGTTATGTTTTTTCACAGTTTTGGTCTGAGAATTACCATAATCAGCCAGGATAGTAACATCATCTTATTATGATGCACTTTATTTTGTTTCTCTTTCTGCTAGCTATTTATTTCCACACTTTTGGTCCATTGAAATCAGCAAAGATAGTAACATAATTACGATGAGGAAGTAACCAAATGCACCTGCCAGACAAACTTCCAAATCAATCGTTGGAGACAGGAAGTACAACAAAATGAACTTGGACTTATGGGGCTGTATCTAAACCTCAACTCAACTGTAAGAACTGGGAATCATCCTGTACCAAGTATTACGAGCAGGAAAAGAACTATTGTAACTCAAACATAACAGCAGGGAAAAAAAAAGGTGCACCTGGCCTTATGAGCAGATGTGGAATGCCTACTTGACCATAGGAACAGGGCATTGAACATCCTGCAACCAGTATTACGAGGTGGACAAAGTTTCCCATGCTCAACCATAGGGGGTATCTACTCGTCTAAATCCAGGAACAAGGCACTATCTACCTGAATCCAGTATTATGAGGAGGATCCAGCAATGGCTGGTCCAGCTCCCACCAGCATCAGCACTCCTGGCACTAAACCTCTAGGGGGTAGAAGGAAGAACGGTTCCCAGCTTTGCACTCTTCTCAATATAGTGTAGTGATATGTAATGTTATGTGTGTTCTACACTCATGAGGAAGCCTCTATGGTCCACCACCTTAGCGGCTAGGACTCCCAAACTACACTCAAGGAAGGGAGAGGTAAAGGATGCTGAGGAGTTTGGAAGAACATCACACCAGAGAAAGTGCAATGGGTGACCTAGAAATCCTATTTTGAAAAGCAGACTGCTCTTGAGTTATTCAATGAAAGGAGAAACAGGGATGAGCAGCAATCCCCTTCTGCTTTACTCATGATATACCATGATTGATGATCCACCAAATACTTATCAGAATTCTACATTACATACACACACACACTCACATATATATATATATATATACACACACACACACAAACATATACCACTAGGTAAGCCTCTAGTGATCTTGAGGAACACCCAATCTCAAGAGTGTGTTATAACTGTAAAGGTATATGGTGTGGGTTTATAGGAAAGAAAACCTGACCAGGCAAAACTCACCATTGAGTGGGAACCAAACATATGTCAAAGCAAAAAGAAGCCCCTGAAAGAAAACAACAGAAAAAGACATTTACCCATGTTAGAGTTGAACTGGTGTGTGTAGAATTGCCACAGGAGGTAGACGATATCCTCCAGAGAAGGACACAGCCAGATGGTGTAGGTAATGAGCAACAAAGGTATGGGAGTATTCCACATTTCAGCCAAGACAATCTCCTCCAGAAGACAATGAAAATGAGCCACTAGATTCCTGGTGATATATCAGATCTGATAAAATGAGACACAATAAAGATGATGCCCTTCTGAGGAAAGGGAAGAGTAAGCCAACCTAATAAGCTGATGAACCAACCCCATATAAGTGATGGGGGAAGATGTCACATGACACAGAAGGGCTCCAGAGAATAAACAAATGGGAACAGGAACCACGAAAGGAAACTGTATGAGCCACATAACATTGAAGAGACTATATAAGACAGAGGAGGCAATCTGGATCTAACTTGGAAAAAGTATGGGAAATGGAAGGCATGACGATGGGCTTGAAGTCAGAATCGCCCTCATGAGCAGCTGAGGTCTTGGGAAGGAAGAAAAAGTCCAGGTATACCACAATATATGTACTATGATAAAGGGTAGGGGAAACATCTATAGCAAAAAGGTTAGACCAAAAGCCTGGAGGAAAAGGAAATAGGTCTTGAGGGAATAATGATACAGGGAACATGAAGCCAAAGGTTCAAAGGGAGGTTGGGAAAGGGCAAAAAGGACGACACTGAGATCACAATCAGCACAGGAAAGGCACAGCGAGGATGAAGAACATGAAACGACTGGAACAGGAGGGAAAGGATGAGACCCGGCAGAATCTGATAAAACAAAATGTGTGTACCAAGGCTGCTCTAAAACAAGAAACTGTCAAAACCAAAAGATCCTGATCAAACAACCAGTTGAAGAACCAGAAAAAGTGAGGAATGGAAAGACAGATGGGGCAGAAACCATGTCAGAGAGACCAATGACAAAAAGTAGTATAATATCATTGGTAAACTCAGAATGTGGAAGGTCAGACTGATAGAGTAAGGAGAGAAGTACCACGTTGTATCAGATCCTGTCTTATTGCAATGGACAAAGCCATGCATGAAGCTGGAGGGTGGGAATGGCATGATGAAAGATGTCCAAAGGAGAGAAGGTGACAGAGGTGATGAAAACTGTAAAGGCATCAGGAGAGAGAACTATGGCTAAGTTGGCCAAAACAGAGCCACGAAGAGAATTCAACATGGAATGATGAAGATTATAGAGATAACTTTGGGGAGGAAACGTATAGGAGGGAAGGCATAAATGTGAAGGCCCCTCCATTCCTAACTGAGGAAAAGTTAAGGATCTAGGGATCACTCCAAGGAAATGACCTTGTGCAGATGTGATAACCAATCTGCAACAATATTCAAAACACTGGGAATATGGCAAGGCAAGAGCTGCATTTGGTATTCATGGGCCCAAAACAATAGCCCTGGATTTGGTTTACCTTGCTTGGTGGTGTATAAGACTGCTGTGGTGTTGTTGGAATGCACCAACACCAACTTCCCCTTCGGAAGATGGAGGAAATGAGACATAGCTCAATGAAAAAAGCTAAGAACTCTAAAACGTTGACATTAAGCCAGGATTGAGCCAATGATTAACTCCCAGAAATCTCTTGGGTATCAAGATATGCACCCCAACTCACAAGAGCAGCATTGGTAAAAAGATGCAGGAACACTAGTCATAGTATTTTTCTGTTCAACCACCAAGCAAGGTCGGTCTGAAGAGAAGGAAGGACAATTGGTTGATCCAAGGGATCCAAACTGAAGTTCCATTAATCATTGAATTCCCACTCAAGGAGAAGCAGGTGAGCATGACCAAGGAGTATGAAAGCTTCCAAGGAAGCCCACATTTCCAAAAGAGATAGAACCTCTCAAGCTGAAAGAGAATGAGAGGAAAGATAGGGCCTTGATGAACAACTGCTCCATATTTCGAATGCATAGTGGTGAAGGCTGGGCTTGGTTGAGGTGGGAATTGAAGAAATCTAGATACTTGAAGTGAACTAGATACTGTATAGGGGAAAGAATGAACTTCTTCACTTTGATTAACCAAGCCACACAAGCTGCCTTCTCCAGGAGCAAACAGGTAGGAATGGAATATGCTGAACAGGAAGGAGCCAGTCATCCAATAATGATGAGACCAGATGTAGATCGAAGGACTTGACTACCCAACAACGACAACAACAAAAAAACAAACATAATAAGCCAAGGCAAGCTCAAACTGAAGATCCTGGAACTGAAAAACATGCCCCTCATGGAAAACCAAAGAAAATGACGTGAGGATATGAAAGTGTAAACAAAGATATGCATCTGCTACGTTGAACTTGGTTCCAAAATTTGGAATGAAAACTCAACAAAGGGACAGAAATGACTTCATGGTGGAAGGAGGAGGATCCAGAAACTGATTTTGATGGGAGAGGTCAATAACGGGTCTCCAATTACCAGTTTTCTTGGGTACAACAAAAAGTCAAGAGTAAAAATTGGCTGAATGGTAAACACTGGCTTGATGGCTTCAATGAGAAGGAGGTCTCTCACTGCTTCAGAGAGATGACTGTTTGAGACAGCATCCCTTGTGGGAGGGTAAGGAACTGGAGACAATGAAAGAGGAGGTTATGACCACAACTGGAGAGAGAGACCCTCTGACAAAACCTGTAGAACCCAGGGATCAGTAGTGAACATCTCCCAACTGCCAACAAAGTGGTAGAGCTTAACCCCACTGTGTAGTCACCTATACTGCTGTCAACATTCTTGATGAGTATGGAGAAAATGAGGATAAGGACGAGAATGTCGAGATGCTGGTTAAGGACAACGTATGGAAGTGGGAGGACAGGATCAGGAGATGTGGCGGAGAAAGGCTAATAAACAATTAGCAAGGGACGATAGTGAAGTATGCAACCTGGCCAAGTCAACAGGACTGCCTCCAAACATGGTCATGCAAAAACGTAGCCATCCTTAAATCCCTGAGGGAAGATGGGGAGGAACCCTGCAAGCAGTGCATCTATCCCCAACAATAAAGCAGCCAAGTAAGTAGGGCAGGGCCAAAGAAAAGAGCTTTGCCGAAGACAACCACAGGAGAAAGACGAAAAGCCTTGGATAAAAGGTGCAAAGAGGAGAGGTAATGCAAAATGTTAGAAAGTGTATGACAAATCCATGAAAATTGTGTCTGTGAAAATGATACAGAAGTCTCAGGATCAGAACCCCAGAGGGAAAAAAAAAAGATCTAACTGAATTCAAATAAGGATTTGAAGAGAGATGAAATGCTAAAGCATGTTGGTCAGAAACTTGAGGGGGTTCAGACATACTAACCCCGGAACTTAACTGTGATAAAAACTGTTGTGAGTGAACCTCAATGTCAGGTAAAAAGGAAAACACTAAATAGTCTGAGCAGGGATCTCACACAAAAAGAAAGGAGAGGCATCATAGGAAACAGGATAAACATTCAAAATGTGACAAACCTGTGTAATTAATTAGATAAGAACAGTAGATCTTCCTACAAAGGTGCAGGACGTGTCTGCATGGCAAAAGAATGAGCAGGAAAAGGGCTGTCTAAATCATTCTAGTCCAAAACATTCTCATCAGCCTGATGAGGCATCAACTGTTGTGGAGAAGAAGGACCAGGCCCCATTGTAAAAAGCTAACTCCCAATGAACCATGGATTGCACCTCCTCGGCAGACAGTGTCGATCCCAAAGACTGGGTAACAGGAGTTTATGTCCCCAGGAACTACAAGAGCCATGGTGGTAATCACAGTAAATTGCAAATTCATAATTCAAAATACTTTATGTGAAAATGGTAATTAAATTAAAGTCCATAACACACCACAATGCAAAAAGAAGCAAAGCAAACTTTTTTTTATTAAAAAAAAAAAGAACAAATAGGGAGAAAGTCCAAAATTTTTAAAAAACATTATTGAAAACTGAAAGCAAGCAAGAAACAAGTCCGACTCATGCCAATCGAGAAAGTAAGGTTCATGTAAAGTAGTACAGAGGGGGTTAGCTGCTCTAAGAAAGTATAGTGTTCCTTTTGGTGGAGGGTTGTCGTATGCTAAATGAGCAGGTCAAACTTAGGGATATAAAGGCTAGTATATCAATCAAAAACATTTCTTTTCAATGCATTAGAGAGCAGTGGAAAATCAAGAAAAGCTATTGTGTGAGAAGAAATCATAGCTTTTCAGATCCTAAGACTTAATTCAAAATACTAATTTAATAAGAAATGTTTTTCAAATATTTTGCACAAGTTAATAATTTTGTTTAAGAAACTCACCTTGAAGTTAATAGTAATAACAAGTGTGTGAAACATTGCTGTGCCAAAACTCCATAAACCTAAAGTCTGGGAATAAATAAAAAACAACAACATACATTTATACTTGTTTACCTCTTCATCATTAAACAGTTAAGATTTTGTTGTATATGGAAAATTCAAATCTTTATTTTGATATAACTGAAATTATTAGTAATTTAACAAAAAAGATACAAGGTTTTTCAAGAATGAAAACAAGGAATTCAAAGAGTAAAGTTATCTATAATTATCTACAAGATTATTGTTAATAATTTACAAGCATATATTAAAGTTTCACAAAAAACACCATCAAAAATTAAATAAATCACTACTGTTGCAGCAACAGTATTTAGTGTGTGCATGTGTTTTCCTATAGCGAAGCCACATCAGGTTATCTGCTGTGTCCACCAAGGGGAATTGAACCCCTGATTTTAGCATTATAAATCTGAAGACCTTCTGCTGTCTCACCAGGGGACAAAAGTATTCAGAAACAGTTGTTTTGTAGTTAAGCAAACCTACACAATGGGCTATCTGTGCTCTGCCTACCACGGGTATTGAAACCCGGTTTCTAGTGTTGTAAGTCCACAGACATACCACTGTGCCACTGGGGGGCTATTTAGAAACAAGAGACAGAGTTATTATTCATGTAGTATAGAGTTCAAGAACATGCTGTTTATGTCACAAAAGAAAATTTATTGCTACTACTAACAGTTTGATATCACAAGATTATTGTGTATTTATGTTACATAATCTTTTATAAGTTATATATCACATATAATATTGTTTTAATGGTTATTTCCCAGCCTCCGGATTGTACTATTGCTCAAAGTAATTGAAGTTTTAACAATGAAGATTAAAATGAATTAATTTTTCTATTATAATGCATGTGTTTCTGTGTTCATTTATGTGCTCATATTAACATGTCCTTATTCTTGATGGAAGATTTAGGTTGTGGATTCATGTAAAAGTTAAAGTGAGGAGCAAAAAGTGTGAAGTAAATGGTTAAGCAGCATGAAGGAACTCAGAAGAGTTTGATCATGTAAATGTAATGAATAATTGTTTTGGATGAGATTCAAATCTTTTCTTTCCAAAAATACAGATATTGCACAAGGCATACAAATACACATCATTGCACAGTGTCAAGTAAAGATAAAAATTTATTATACAATGCAAATTAAATTTAATTCAAAATAAACTTGTACATTTAAAGCTACTTAAGCTTCTTAAGCTTTTTTTTAGACATGAAGTATCCAGAATAATTTGGAGTTCTTGGTTTAGAATGAACCTAAAACAATTTTGGATTAACAATGCTTGGAGACGGCTTGAATGGGTAATGAAGAAAATGTTTAATATAAGTTTAACATAACAGCAAATGTACAATGTTTTGACAAGGTTTTGTCATTATCAGATGACAAAACCT